CAGTGAGGACTATGAGATACTGTTTAATTAGCTTGTTCACAGCCCCGTTTCCCACCCACCCACACTCATACTACAGGTGTGCCCTGGGAAGGCAGGGGCTTGTCCACCTTGTTATTTTCACGCTCTGTCTCCAGGGCCTAGAAGAGTATGGGAAAATTGGTGAGGATGCAGTAAGTCAATGAATGAATGAATGAAAGAAAAAGTAAATGAATGAAGACTCTTGTAGCCACAAGTGAAGTCATCGTGCGCCAAATGCCCCCTTCCGTCCACTCACGTTGGTGTCCGTATTGGGTGGATGGTTAGAACACCCCTGGGAAACGATGGAGGGGCAGCCGGCCGGTGGCGTGGGCGTTGAACATGTGTACTCTGTGTGCTGGAGTGAGCTGCGGGGTCAGCTGCAAAGTGGGAGACCTGCCTGGCTGCCCAGGAGAGCCCAGGTCTGTCTCCTGCCTTGGGCCCGGCTGCCAGGGATGGGCCACTGCCTAGGCATCTGGAGAGCGTTGGTCCAGCCTGTCCTTCTGTCTGTCTAGGAGCTGCTGGGCTGGCTGATCTGGGAGGGTAGTGCTCTCCGTGCAGCGTGCCTGGGAGGATGAGTGAGAGGTCCAGGCCAGGGCTACGCTCTATAGCCCCAGGAGCAGAGCTGAGCCAAGGGTGTGGTGTAAACCCGAGCAGGGTTCTGGCCTTCCAGGGGGGCTCCTTGCTCCTGCCTTAGAGGAGCATCCCGTGGTCAGTGGGGCCAAGGGTGCAGGAACCGGGTTCCACCAGAGGCGGAGGAGAGGCAGGGAGAGCTGTGAGTTGCTGCTCCATTTTCCTTTGCTCTGCCAGGAAAGTGGGACGTGCTTCCGGGGAGGGGGGTGTCCCACCCAGGGCAGGCCATAGGGAGTGGCCACCCTGTCGTCAGGCAGGCTGTTTTAGCCACTTCCCCAGAGCTGAGTCACGGTGCTTAGCAACACCCCCCACCCTGAGCCACCGGCTCCCTTTGGCACGATCCCCTTCCGGGGGTGCACTCAGGCCTCCTGCACTGCCTCCAGGACGGGCCTGGGCCACCTGCTTGTACTTAAGCTCCGTCTCCTCACCCCCAGATTGTTCTCTGTTAGAAGCTTAGGGTGACGATGTCACTCAGCGGCCGTGAAACCAAGGACCTAAAAACAACCCAGGGAGTGAGCTCTCCCTAGCCCTCGAGCCCGGCCTGTCCAGTCTGAGTTCTAGCTCAGGGAGCCCAGAGGCCCAGACCTCACCCCGCCCCGGGACTGCCAGGTCCTGCAGCCCCTCCTCACTGGACAGTGGGACACGTGGGAGGCTCCATGTGGGCCCCAACTCTCAGGACTTTTTCATGCTGGATATTGAAGATAGCTTGTTTTCTCACGAGCCACAAAGCCCCGTTCCCACCCCAGGACGCAAGACCACAGGCAGCAGATAGCATCGGCCAGACTTGTTGCTATCTTTCTGGGGTGTAGGGCCGTGCAGGATGCTGGCGATCCCAGGGCTGCCCTAGGGGTTTCCCTGCCAGCCCCCCTCTTTGCTGCTCTCTAGCCCTACCTGCAAGAATGTGCTAGGAGAGGGGTGAATGGGATAGTGGGGACCCTCCTCCCCAGGATACCTGGTCCCTGTGGGTGGCCACAGGGGTCTGCACCCTCTCTGCTGAGTCCTGGGTAGCTGGGCCTGTGGTTTCCCTTTCTCGCTAGTGAGCACTTACAGTTGAGGAAACCACCGCACTTAAAGTTGCTTCCTGGGCCTGGGGATTCCTGCCATTCCAGTGAAACCCTTACGCAACTCTGGAAGTTCATATAATGTGCTCCCACAATTCTGACTGTTTACATCCCCTCTCTGCCCCCTTCCTTTCCTTTCTTTTTTTGTTGACCTGGTGAACAGTACACGCTTTTTTTTTTTTTTTACATATGTGTTCTCACTCCAGGACAGGGATTCTCGATCTGGGGCAATTTTGCCCCCCAGGGGACATCTGGAAATGTCTGGAGACGTTTTGGTTATCACAAGTGGGGGAGGGATGCTACTGGCATCTAGTGGGTAGAGGGCAGGGATGCTGCAAACACCCGACAATGCATAGGACAGGCCCCACAGCAAAGAATGATCTGGCCCAAAGTGTCAACACTGTCAGAATCTGCTCTAGGATTATACAAGAACTTTCTGGAGGCAGCAGCCAGGCTCTTCCTTTCTCTGGATTCCCCTGGCTGCAAGTGGGGAGGAGCATTCTATTGGTGTTGGTAACTGACCAGTGATGCTACCCACCAAAGGCCAGAGAAAGGCCTGGAGTGGAGAAGAAAGAGCGCTGGACCAGGAGACCAGCTTCCAGCCCAGCTCTGCTCTCGAGGCCATGAACTGGGAGAAGTCACTGCTTCAGTAAACCTCTCTCTTTTTTAGCCAAAGAGAATTTTCCCCAAAGTTTGGCCTGAAATCCCTCAGGCTTCTGCTGCCACCAGAGGGTTATATGTGGCAACTCTTTCCTGAAGCAATGGCAAGGGGAGGACCCTGAGGCCAGTAGTTTTCATGCATCTAGTTTAGGGGTCAGCAAACTATGGCCCACAGGCCAAATCCGGCCCACTACTTGTCTTTATAAAGTTCTATTGGGACACAGCCACACCTAAATGTTGACCAGTGATGCTACCCACCAAAGGCCAGACATATAGTCTGCTGCTGCTTTCCTACTGCAAAGACAGTTGAGTAGCTGTGACAAAGATGGTATCAGCCACAAAGCTGAAAATTTTCAGTCTCTGGCCCTTTATGGAAAATGTTTGCCAGTCTCGGGCCTAGCTGTTCCATGGCTAATTGTTTAGAGGCTAGGTCTCAGGGTGTGGGCAGGAGGGAGGGTTCAGGTTAGGGGTAGGGGAAGCTAACTTCTCCAAGGTTGTGGTGGGGAGGAGGAGAGTGAGGAGGGAGAGCTGATTGTAATGGGGCACCCAAGGCCTTCCAGGAGAGTCCTCACCTGGCTCCGAGCCCAGCCCAGGTCACCTGTGTGGCAGGTCTGCCCTGGTGCCTGGCTCCTGCCGCCCGCCCCAGAGAACTTTGCTGGAGTGACTGCCTGGGTGGGGGGTCACTTGCAGGCGGGGGAGCCACCTGGCTGGGCAGCAGCAACCGGACAAGGAACAAGAGCGTGGGGGCTGGGGACTAGAGGGCACAGAGCGGTCAAGCCGGGAGCCCTGGAGCCGTGCTGTAGGCTGAAACGAAGCCAGTGCTGTCACTGGGCTTGAGAAGGCAGAAAGGGAGAAACTAAGGAGCAGGGGCAAGTGTTGGCCATTCAACAGGTGTTTGAAGGCCGACTGTGCCATGTACCGCTAGATGGGATTCAGTGGTGAACAGGCCCTTTGGAACTCTCCGGAAGCTCATAGTCCAGTGGGAAGATTACAGGCCAGCCAGCAGGGAAGAATGATGTAGCCAGTGCCTGCTGAGAGAGGGGACATCCAGAGTGCTGGGGGCTGGGGGGAGAGCTGGCCGGGAGGACTCTCCCTGGCTTAAGACGGTTTCCCGGAAGAAGTGACGTCTCAGCTGAGCCCTGAAGGATGTTGGGTGAATCAGGTGACGGGGTATTCCAGCAAGGAACTGCATGTGTCCTGTCCTGGAGTCCAGGAGACAGAAGCTCCGGGACTGGGGCAACGTGCAAGGGTAGCGGAGCAGCGAGTGATGGCGTTGGGAAGGGAGGCAGGAACTGGTCACCAGATCAAGGGGTCTGCACTGGGGAGTCTTAGAAGGGTTATGTTTTAGCTAAAAGGTGGAGGATGGACTGGAGAGGGACCGAAGGAGAAGCAGGGAGCCCTGTTGGGCTGATGGCAGGGCCAGGTGGGATGTGGTGGCCTAGCTTGGGGCAGTAGCCAGGAGTGGGAAGAAACCTGGAGGGGGCACTCACAGGTTGAGCTTTGCAGTGGGAAGGGTGGCCTGTGATGAGGACACCATTGAGAATTGTGCTGTTAGCAAGACGGGTGGCCCAGCACTGCCCTCACCCACCGTACTTGGTTACATCCCTGCACCCGTCTCTCCCTACCCTGCTCAGCCCTGTGCTGTTGGGTTTAGCATCTGGGGCAGGTCCCTCCTGAGGGAAAGGGGCTGGTTTCGCTCCAACACAGAACTTCAACTTGGCCCTTGCCAGGAGCTGCGTAGGTGGGTGGTACCTCAAGCTTTCAGATGGCCCCCTGCTGTTCTTTGGTTCAGGTTAATCACCTGGGGGTCTGCAGATCCTAAGGGGCCTAAGCCATCTAGGGTCTAGTCCCTGCCTCTCTGCACCCCTAATGATTAAAGAAATTGGGAGAGAGTTTTCCAGTCTTGATTTCCCTGAGAGGTGGAGGGTGGATCCTCGGCAAAGAGCTTGGGGCCCCACCATGGAGATGACACAGGCGGGATCCTCATTTATGGGACACCCAGCACGGACTGGAAGGCTGGGGAGCTGGTTCTGTGGGTCCCAGTAGCCCCACCCCAACTCTGATTCAGAAAGCAAGCTGGGCCGCCCACATATGTGGAAGTGCCAGGCAGCGTCTCTCTGGGCCCTGTGCTGTCCTCTCCCTCCTTGGCAGACTGCGACTCACAGTAACTTCACAGGGATGGAGGTCAGACAACAGGAAGAACTTACAGCATGTCTCCAAACTAGCTGTTCACAGGAGTCAAGTCATAGACTCAGAATTTCTTTCCTAGACTAGTGTGTGGAATCGCCTATGCACCTCCACATCCTCAAATGTGGTCATGTTCTCTCTAGCAGCATCCTGGTTGCGGGGCCAGGTGGGGGGGCTGCGTGTCCTTTTGAAGAAACATCATCTCTTAAGTTTCAGGGAAAGTGTCTGTGGCTACTTGAACTCTAACCAGATTTGCAAAGAGCGCTCCCCTAACTATAGAGCCTGTGCATGAGTAAATAGGCAGGGTTATACAATTGATTGCTGGCTCATTTCACATTATTTCATTTTGGTGGGAGCTGGGGTTTAAATAACACCCATGGGTAGATGGGCTTCTGTGTGCGACCAGCCTGGGTTAACCCTTTGCCTGCTGTTCTCTTCTTGCAGCTCTATGACCTCCTCCTTACCACCCCCTCCACCCGCCGGACTTCAGATCTGACCCCAGGCCTGCCCGCTGCCTCGGGAGGGCCAGCCTCCCCTCGTCATCGGGCAAGATGCCGATCCTCAAGCAACTGGTGTCCAGCTCGGTGCACTCCAAGCGCCGGTCCCGAGTGGACCTCACGGCCGAGATGATCAGTGCCCCACTGGGCGACTTCCGCCACACCATGCACGTGGGCCGGGCAGGGGACGCCTTTGGGGACACCTCCTTCCTCAACAGCAAGGCTGGCGAGCTGGACGGTGAGTCCCTGGATGAGCAGGCCTCCTCCTCATCCTCCAAACGCAGCCTCCTGTCCCGGAAGTTCCGGGGCAGCAAGCGGTCACAGTCGGTGACCAGGGGGGACCGGGAGCAGAGGGACATGCTGGGCTCACTGCGGGACTCGGCCCTCTTCGTCAAGAATGCCATGTCGCTGCCCCAGCTGAACGAGAAGGAGGCCGCAGAGAAGGGCTCCAGCAAGCTGCCCAAGAGTCTGTCGTCCAGCCCCGTGAAGAAGGCGAATGCTGGGGAGGGCAGCGAGGAGGAGGCGGGCGTGGGGGAGGTGGTACCCCGGCGGAATGGGGCCACTGCCCCCCATTCCCCCGACCCCCTCCTCGATGAGCAGGCCTTCGGGGACCTGACAGATCTGCCCGTCGTGCCCAAGGCCAGCTTCGGGCTGAAGCATGCAGAGTCCATCATGTCCTTCCACATCGACCTGGGGCCCTCCATGCTGGGCGACGTCCTCAGCATCATGGACAAGGAGGAGTGGGAACCAGAGGAGGAGGATGGCGGTTACCATGGTGACGATGACCCAGCAGGCAGTCTCACCGAGGCTCCCCCTTCAGTGGCAGAGGCCCCTCCCCTGACAAGGCAGGAAGGCAAGGCGAGCCCGGACTTGCCCCCGCTGCCCCCCCAGGCTCTGCATGACGAGGGGTGGGCCGCGGCAGCCCCCAGCCCAGGCTCAGCCCGCAGCGTGGGCAGCCACACCACGAGGGACAGCAGCTCCCTTTCCAGCTGCACCTCGGGCGTCCTAGAGGAGCGCAGCCCTGCCTTCCGGGGGCCAGACAGGGCCCGGGCCACTCTCCCAAGGCAGCCCGACAAGGAGTTCTCCTTCATGGACGAGGAGGAAGAGGATGAGATCCGAGTGTGAGGTGGGCAGGAGGTGGCAGCTCCACGCTCTTGGCTTCATCTCCTCCCTGCCCCCAGCCCACCACCACCTTCCCCCCTCCCCCTTCCCCCTTCCCCCTTCTGGTGCATGGGCAGCCAAGAGCCTGGCTTCAGCCACAGATCCTGGACCTCATGGATGAGGGGCATTGGCCAAGCCTGGGGGCCTATGGAGGACTTGAGGAGCTGGCCTGGGTGCCGACTGGGTGCCTGACTTCATTGCACACCCTGCCCTCCCCAAGCTCTGTAGGACGGGACTGTGTTCTGGAAATAGAAGTCAGTTTTCCGTTTCCTCCACCCTGGCCTCAGATGGATGCCAGACGTCAACCTGACTTCCCGCCTCGTGCGGCAATAGCAGGTCAGCCCAGGGGCAGCCTCGGTACAATGGCTAAGGACACTTGGCTCACCTTGTCTCTCCTGGTGTTTCTGCTGTGACTGGCGGTGGTTGCCAGGGTAAATGCATGTGGCAGGAGGAAGGCGGTGGTCACACATCCCAGCCCCTCCCTACTCCGTCCCTGGCTCCTGCACCGGAAGCCTGGAGCCCCTTGGAGTAAAGCTGGACTGAATATGTACACTAAACGCGTCCCCTTCCCGGGGAAGAGAACAGGATGGGGAACGGAAGGAAATCCCTGGGCTTCTTGAATTTTCAAGAAGGGGCCCTTCCAGGACAACACTAGGAACAGGCTGCAGCACTCGCTCAGTCTCTATGGGTTTGTTTGTTCTTTCTTGTTTTGTTTAAATCCTTCTAGAGCAATATCAGGAACGTGTTAGCAGGTCTGCCACCAGAAGGAAAATCAAATCCTTTTAGAAAACCTTTATACTAAGTGCTTCCAAACTTTATTTAGAACTATATGGTGTGGGTGTCTGTGCGTGTATGTCTCATTCTCCCCACAGCTATTAACAACTAAAGGCGGCCAGTGTAGAAAATTTCTGGAAAATGATTTTTTAATAATATATGCTTCCTATGGAGGGATAAAAGCTTTTTTGACTGGGTTATTCCCTGTCCACCCCCCACCCCGACACACACACACACACACACACACACACACACACACACACACACTCATACACTCTCTCTCTCTCTCTCTACTTCCCCCTCCTTTCTTGGGCCTCTCCCAGCTGGTCCCCTCCCCCACTTCTGGGGCAAGGGTCCAAGGGTACAAGGTTCCCAGATTTAGCATTATAGTATAAGTATGCCGCATGCCATATTGGAACATACTTATGCTAAAAAATTACTTGCTGTTATTCCCAAACTCAAATTTCCCTCTGTGTCCTGTAACCTGCCCAAGGGGACTGAGTGGGAGCTCAGGTATGAGCCCCAGGGTTAACTGATGATTATTTTTCTGTCCCGGGAACAGGCTGACCCCCCTCCTCCTGACCCCTTGTAGCCAATGAGGGGAGGGACAAACAGAACTAACTAACCCAGGATCCAGCCCCTCTAGTCTCCCATATTTTGCCAGATCCTAGCTCAGACACTAACTTAGTTCCTGATTCGAGCGCCCTGTCGGTGCATAGCTCCCACGGTGGGGGAGGAATCGGAAGGGTTGTGCAGCCTCTGCCAGCTGCCCTTGAACCCCATCCAGACAGTGGTCAGTTCCAGATTCTAAACTGTATATTTTTTTCATGATATTGTTAAAACAGTGAGGAAACATTAAAAAAGCCCTATAGCACGCCTGGTGTCTGTCTCTGCTTCTGGGGAGGGGTTTTTCAGGAGCGGGGGGATGGGGGTGTGGATTGGGGGTCCTGGGGCTGCCCGTGCCTCCACAGCACTTGGGGCCCTGAGGCGGCTTCTCCCTCCATCCCTTTGGGGCCCTCCCCTCCTTCACTGGCCTCCAGCCGCTCCAAGGACAAGGCCCCACGTGCCCCTCTGCCTGGGCAGGCCCTTCGGGGCTCTGGGACTTTGGCGTCCCAACTACTACATACAGTTGGGGGCCTTCGGGCACTTGTCTCTTAGCTGCTTCATGCCTCATACTTCCCATCTGTGAAATGGGAATCCTGCTGCTCTTGCGGGCGGGCGTCAGACACAGTCACTGACATGGCGTTGGCACAGTTGTTAAACTGAGGGAGGCTATGTTCTCCCAAGCCGCAGGTGCCGACACGTGGGAGCTGTCGCCACCAGGACGCAGCAGGCTCTGCAGGCTGGAAGAGATGCCACCCTCCCCTTTGCTCTGCTTTTACCATCTGACCTGGAGAAGCAGCTTACAGGCGGCGTGTTCTCCGCTCAGCCTCGTGGCCCAGTGGGGGTAAACTCGTGTCCCCATTTTATAGAAAAAACATGCCCAAGAGGCCACATGGCCACCTTCTCCAAAGTCATCAAGTAGTCAGTCAGAACATTATTGATTCAAAATGCTCTTCACCTCACCACTCAGCGGGCGCCTCGAAGCTTCCTTCCTCCAGGAAGTGAGGTTGGGATGTGTCTGCCCTGGGGGGGCTCACTGTATCCCCCAGCTCCTGCCTCACCACCCTCCCTTCCTCACAGCCGCCTTCCCCTCTGCCTGGGCGTCTCTAAGAAGGGGACATCAGCCTGGCAGGGTGGCTCTCTGCTAGCTGAAGCCCCTCACACACCCTCCTTCCCACCTGGGCCCGGCGTGGCTGAGTTCCTGGAAACCCGCTCCTGCCTCGAGCGTCTGCAGAGAAATTTGGGCTTGTACCCATCCTCCCTCTCCCTGGGAAGCAATCAGAAGCATAATTAAACTGTCGCCCAGGTCCCTCTGCCCCTAGAGCGGCTCATTAGTGCTAACAAGGGACGGGGTTAAGAGGAGTTATGAGCAGGTGGTGTGGTGGCCCCGAGGGAGGAAGGGCGACGGGGTGGACTGGGGCACATCCACAGCCCAGCGGGGATGGGGATCCTGGGGGCTGCAGTCTAGCTTCGGGCCACCAGGGAGAAAATGCACTGTTCATGTGGCCCAGGTGTGTGCAGGGAGAGCACCCAAGGAGGAGCTGTGGCTCCGACACAGTGCAAACTCCTCGCTCCACCACAACCACGCACCCAGGATTCTTGAGGGGCTGGGAGAAGTCAGCCACCCCGAGGCCGCACACCTGCTTTTTGACTAGATGGAAAAGCGCCAGCCATTCAGGAAGACCCAGGGGCCTGTGGAGAGACCTGGCTGGCCCCACACCTTCAGGAGTATGCATTCTGGTTGGGGGCCCAACGGGCCCACCAGACAAGTAAGGGATAACCAGGGAGGGGGAGCCTAGCCAAACCAGCTCTAATCTTGGTTCGCTCTGTGGCCTTGGGCCAGTTATTCTCCCTCTCTGGGCGGTTTTAGTTTCTCCGTCTTGAAATTAGGCACAGCTTAGTTGTTTTCAACTTTTTACCAGAAGTTTTGTTTGCAACAGTCACATGTTGAACCCCTATACATCAACAGACCCAAGCCAGAGCTTCCCCAGGTGGGGTTAGGGTTGGGGGTGTCCTTACTCTCTCTCTTTTGGTCTCTAAGTTTCACCCGAGAAACCTAGGGCCTCCGCAGAGCATGTCTCACCTTAAAGATGTTCTGTAGGGGCCCTTCTACCTCTGACAACTCAAAGCAGGAGCCAGGAACTTCTGGGTAATAATTCAGTTATTTTAATTCAGATCACAGCTAACATTTCCAAAAATGTGATGGGACCCCAAAGCCTTCTGCCCCAGACAGGGCTGCAGTTATGACCTAAAGATGTGTTAGCACCAGCCCTGCCCCAGTCCAGCCATCATCAGGGCCTCTCCCCTCCACCTTCCCCCACCCCACGAGGGCTCTGCTCATAGTTATTGGGCACATACAATTCTGTACTATTAATATGATAAGGGCTGTGTGTGTCAGCTGTTGGGACTGCCTTATGCCAGGCACTGTTCTTTGTATTGGCCTCACTTAATTCCCACAACTCTGTGAGGGCCATACTGATACCACCCCCATTTCACAGATGAAGACACTGAAGCGGCTAAAGGTGAAGGAACCGGCCCAGCCCCACTGGGCTCGTAAACGGAGGAGCTAGACACAGACCTGGGCATGGCTGCAGGACCCTTCCTCACACGCACTATCCTAACCTGATGATTTACACATTGGGAGCCGGAATGACCAGGTGGGGCCAGTGACCTGGCTGGACGGGGCAGCAGAGAGAGAGGCCCAGCTGACAGCCCGACTCACGTGGGGCTATGTGCCCAAAGGAAAGGCGTGCTGCCCGGGGAGGCGCTGGTGGCCCCCAGCCCCTTTCAGCAGCAGCTGCTGATTCATGGTGTCCAAAGGGCCCACCAGGTAGTGCACAGGCCCTGCCCAGCATCACTCAGGGCTGGCCTCTGTCTCTGCTGGGTGGGACCAGGGCCCCGGGCTGGGCCCCTTGCCTCTCAAGCCTGCAGCCTCTGGCCTGTGTTCCTGCTGGTGTCCAGGTTGGTCCCACAAGGTGCTCACCTCTGACTCCATTCTCACACACACCCAAGCTGCCCCCTCCTTCAGGATTGCATCATGTCCCCAGAAGAAAGTGGACAAAGGGATAGAGGATGTCAGGACACATGAAGGAGGGGATACTTAGGGTCTTCAAATTTTAGGATCTGGTCGCTCCCTGCCCCCATTTTACAGAGGGGAAGACAGAGGCTGGGAGAAGGTGGCACTGGCCAAAGTCCCATGAGTGGAGCAGAGCAGAGATTGTGAATTGGACTGGGCTGGCTTTGGCTCTGTGGCATGGAGATGAGGGACAGGCTGAGCCAGGGGACTCTGGGGTGCAGCCGCTCACAGAACTGGGAGTGCGGTAGTTGTCAGCGGGCGGGGGGCCTCTTTTCAGGTGTGTGCGGCACTCCCCACCCCTCCCCGGCTCACCTTGGCCTTCACACAACAGCCTCCCAAAGTGCCCTAACTCCCCCCACACTCGGGCAGGGCCCTTCCTGGCACGTCTCTCACTTGCAGTGATAAACTGTACCAGAAGTATCCCTGGACCCCGAGGACCCTGAGTGAAGATGAAGAAAAATTAGGAATAAAAACGGGAGAGCTTGTCCATCTAACTTTCCCTTTGCAGTCTCCTGTAGGCCCGTGGCTTCCTGCCAGCAGCCAGATGGGAGACTGGAAAGAACGTTTTGGGGGAGGGAAGAGATTTGCGGGCAGATGGCTTTTGGTGGCTTTGCCTCAAAAACCTGTTGCTTTAACCCACCGAGCTGCTGTTCTCCAGGACAGAGACTCCCAGGAGGGGCGGGAGGAGCCAAGGAGAGCTGCCTTCCCGGCAGGACTCCAGCCCTGAAATGATACTTGGCATGTTGAAAATACCCGTCAAGGCCACAGGGCTCTGCTGAATTTTGTTTTGTTTTTACACCCTGCTTTGTTCCAAAAAGGATTGGAGACAGTTTACAAAAATATGTAAAATACAATAGGATAAAATGAGATCAGAGAGAAAACAAGGCCAGAACAAACAGCACAGTGAACCAAGAGGGTGGTACACAGAAGTGTTCTCCAGGTGGGCCTCCACAATTCTCAAAGGTGGGCTGCAAATTGGGCTCTGAGCTTCCCACTAGTCAAAGTGAAGAGGGAAATCCATCTATTATGAGACTCACAAAGTCCACAAGGTTGAAACGATCTCAGAAGCAGCTCAGCTTTTTTCTGACACTGAGGTCCAAGAGCGATTCTCTTGAGATCTTTGAAGAGGTAG